GCTTCGCCTGCTTGGATGTTTTTTAACTTGACTTTCGGCCATTAGAACCAATCAACTTCACAGGAGGAATCTGCGTCTTTTTGGAACGAGTCCACACACCAATCTCGCGTACTTAGCCTCACGTGACTCCACCGGATTGTAGTCATCACACCTTCCCCAGGATGAACATGCAGGGTCAGCCCCAATTTCTATAGTTAATGGGCTCAACTGGCACTAGGGAAACGTTGCAAGTAACAAGAAAAAAGTCATTGCTGCATAACTGCCATTTGTGTAAGTTTCAGCATACATGCTCAGTAACCACATCAGACTCTTCTCGATAAAGGATGTGGTGAGACACAAAGGCGCCTGAGAATCTGCAGACAGGCTTTGTGTTCCTCTGTAAATAGCATGCTATTTGTAGCATGTGTTGTGCGAATTGTTCTGCTGTTGTCTCTGCAAGGTGTGGCATTTAACACAAGTCCAAAGTCAAAAGGATATTCCTAATGTTACCATATAGTTTTGTCCCACCATGGTGTTTGTAAAGGTTGCTTGATAGACAGTTACATGTTACAATCACACCTTGTTTCTAGTTGATGCAGTGGAAATCAAACTCGCGGACCGAAACAGAAGAATTGTGGAAAACAAGAGTCTTATCAATGTGTTCAAACCTTTCAGTAATACTTCAACAACCAAGGAATAGAAGAGAGTTCTTCAATTCTTTGTTTTCACAGACACATATCACAGTGACAGTGGTAGATACTCACATCAAATGAATGAACCAGGCCGACTGCTTCCTCCCTGGTTACAAACTTTATACTCAGCTAAGCCCACCAACTGCTGGCGGAAGCATCATATTCAATGGAGAGACATATTATCCGTCTCTTCATCTGACAAAAAGCAAAAATATATTATTCTTTTAAAGAGCCCTTAAAAGCAGATAAGTCGCAGCACTGACATGTGGGATGAAGACCGGTTATTAAATGGTAAAACAGAAAAATTAAAAAAAACTGTTTTCAATAACATCCATATTTACAGCAAACGGCAGCATCATTCTCCATTCAATACTAAATTCAAATCCATGTGGTGGGCAAATACCTTCAAGCAACAAAGTCATGGTAAAGTCTGGTATGGGTATTTCCAAAGTGTCCATGCCAGCAGGGCAGGTATGTTGTCCGCCCCGCTCTCAGGCCTCTAACGGGAGATTTTCTCCAGGGTGATTTTCCACTCCTTGATTGCAGCTTCCTTTGATCACATACGCTATGAGACACACAAAGATGAGGAGGACCACACCTGTACCCTGGAGTACAAAAGAGTAAAGCAACACTTTGGTTAGTAAACATCCACAGGAGAAGTGTATTAAGATAGCTGAGTTGATAGTTTCCAAAGGTCACTGATCATAAGAATTCTTTAAACTAGAAAGGATTCAACTCACGTGAGATATAGAATAGAACTTCTGTATGGTGAGCATTAGTTCTCCTGAGGTGATATTTGGCTTACACCACTTCATCTTGGCATCCTTGTCAACTGATACAAATCTACCGTTCCAGCCTGTCATGGCACAAGCAAAGTATTGGCCATCGAAGAACAACAACATCAGCCACACGATAGGAGGAACGAAGCTGGAGATGTTTTTCTTGGACCATGCGTCGAATCTGGTTCTTTGAATGATCAGCATCAAGGCGAAGGCCATGACGGCAGGAATGATGAAGAATGCTAATGAGAATACTCCGTTCCATAAAGGGTTGCAAGGACACTCAAACTCCACCTCCACCAGCTTCTCCAGTCCCATGAGGATTAAGCCAAAAGCCACATTTGACAGCAGAGGACGCTTGCTCAGTTCTTCTCTCAGCATGGCGAGCGACCATTCTTTTCTACTTTCCATACTAGATTGAGCAAAAAATGAAGGCAGCCGCTGCAAAAAGCCTAAAGAGGGTCTAGCGTTGTAAACACGTTGGCAACAGATAAGCGATGTGTGATTAACGCATCCAAAGGTATGTTTTCCCCTCAGCCACATGCTACACTTTCACTCTGATTGGTTTCAAACAAAGGAGGGTGTGCCGACAGCTCTGACTCTTCTCAAGCTGATTGGTCCGTGCAAGGTTTCAGGTGGGGTTACATTTTGTGGTCTCTGATGGACAAACTGGAGGGAGGGCGGTAAAGTGGAAGGAGGTTTGTTCTACACAGAATGGCCCCTTTAAATGCCTTTATCAGAATAAATATGTATCAGTGACTTCTACAGCTCTGATGGACGGGAAATTAAAAGGAATAAGATCATGGATTCATCATCATGTCACTTGGGACTTTGGTTGGAGAGCTTCCCCATGACTTAGCTGATGAGATTGCTGAAGCTTTTGCTAAATTACCACAGAAGGTAATCTGGAGGTAATCTGGGAAATAAAAATATTCATCATCATGGAGTTCCAATCGTAGGCGTTCCCATTGTTTTTAATCAAGCCGACAACCTTTCTAGACTCAGAGCAAAGGGCATAGCAGAAGTTATGGATGTTTCTGAATTGAACACAAAAAACCTTGTGTCACCAGGGGGACATTGTGGTTTCTGTAAATTATTGTTTTTACATTTTAGCATGGCTTGTTTTATTACATTTTAGCGTGGTTTGTTTTATAACATTTTTGCATGGCTTGTTTTTACATTTTAGCGTAGTTTGTTTTATTACATTTTTGCATGGTTTGTTTTATTACATTTTTTACATATTAACCCACCTTTCAGTAAATGGCATGCACCTGGAGGGACTAATCAATTACAGAGAGCCCTGGCCAACCACATTACACAATGAAAGGACCTCCCCTCTCCAATTAACACAGCTGCTATAAAGGCCCCAGAAAGGTGAAGCCACGGAGGGGAGCCACAGGAAGGAAGGCCACAGAAAGGTGAAGCCACGGGCAGGAGAAGCCACGGGAAATCGAGCGAGAGGGCGGCCAGACAACGGACGAGCAGGCAGGGTGCAACGGGGAGAGGAACGAAACGGACTGGACACCTCACCCAGGAAAGGAACGGAACCGGAAACAAGAAAGGGCAAGACCGACCAGCAGCGGTGGCTGGTCGAATTCTTAAATCCTTTTAGTACCTTGTTCCAGCTGGACTTTTAATATTGTAGTTATTTATGGGTTTTTAGTTAATAATAAAATCCTCCTTTTAAACCACGCTTTTAAGTCTTGTGATCCATGCTGTTCTTCCTCTGGTGAACAAGAACCTGTTTTATGGAGACCTGGACTCCGCAACTAGGTGGCGTTGCTGGTACCTTTTTATAAATGTATCTTATTTTTTTATTAGATTTTAAGTCCCCCGCCTCACAGGGCTGACACTTGTGAATGCAATGCAGGAAGTCATGAACGAGCCATCGTACAGGAGGAACATGCAGATGCTCTCCAGGCTGCACAGAGATCAGCCGATGAAGCCGCTGGATAACGCCCTCTTCTGGATGGAGTTTGTCATGAGACACAAAGGTGCAGCTCACCTGAGAACAGAGTCCTACAAGATGCCCTGGTACTCCTACCACTCTGTTGATGTCATGCTATTTTTACTAGCAATCGCAGTGGTTGCTTTTTTATTGTTTGCCGCGTTACTGTGGTCATGCTTTAGATTGTGATGTAAAAGAGAAGTAAAATCAGACTGAACAGAAAAAACAGGTATTATCAATGTTGACATTGGCTGTCACATAGCAAAACATTAACTAATCTACCTGTGATTGGTTAAACATTCAAAGGAACACATATTTGTTACTTAATGTCTTACTGCTGTGGTGGAAAAACTATAAGGAGTGAGCCATCCAACTGTTGGCTGAAGCATCATATTCAATGGACAGACGTGATATTATCCATCTCTTCATCTCACCAAAAAACAGCAAATACATAAAACTATTCTTTTAAAGAGCCGTTAAAGGCTGTTAAGTCGCAGCAATCACATATGGGATGAACAAATGCACAAGACCCGTTTAAACCCCCCACTGTTTTCAATAATATCCAATATTTACGGAGAACGGCAGCATCATTCACCATTCAATACTACATTAAAATCCGTGTGTTGTTGTGGGAGACAAGCAGGGCCTGACATTAGCACCCGCCAACTGCGCGTAGAACTCTCTCTCAAGTGGCCACATTGGCGGGTGGAATTTTCTACATCTCTCTAAACGTGTTGTTGTAGTGTAAGGGCGGTTATTAACGTGTGATGAGCGCATCATCCACGAACCCACAACGCTCGGTTGGTGGCAGGTTCTTGCAAACCGACTACGGACCGCGGAGACTATTTTACGCTCCGGCGAGCTTGTGTGTGCACTACCTTAGTTTAGCTCGACTGTCTCCGTAACAGACCGTCACAGTAGTCTTCTCAAAGCACATCTGAAATAATAAACTCTTCTCAGGGTACTTCAAGCCTCACGCATTGACCGTGAGACACGCGCGTTCAGCCAGTTCACACGCCACATCTTGAGAGGACCGCGTTAAACCGTCTTGCCCGCCGCACTTTCGTTAGCAACATAGATGCTCGAACACACGTGACAGGTTTTTGCTACAGCGTGAGGTTACGTGCTCAGTGGGCAAGGATGTGGCGGCACAGAGCAGGTGTAGGAAAACCCGCCGCGCAGACACAAAAGAGAAAAACTGGTGATGAAACCAAATATGAAGAGAAGACAAATAAAACTGTTCAGCCAAAAGTGGAGGTTTAGTCGAGAATGGCTGGTTTATGATACAGCAAAGAAAATACAATATTGCACTGATTGTAGGATGTAGTGAAAAGGTTAACATGGTCTCTTTGCTAGTTGGGACAAGCAATTTCACAGTGGAAACAATAAAGGACCATGAAGTTTCCGTTGGCCATGACAAAAGCTTTGCAACTAAACGGATGAAGACAACTAACTTTTGCAGTAAATGTCCTCATGAAATCGAAGAGTTTTACACACCTGCACCAGTTATATGCAATGAGCTTCTCTTCTTGTCTTCAGTCACATTTGTTTTCATACAGTAGAAACTTATAAGAGCTGAAGATTTGTTGACTGTACATATACATTTTATGTAGTCTTGATTTGGGTGTTTGGGTCATTTACAGTTAAAAAAATGTAAATCTAGTTCATGTAAATTGCGGGAAACCGTAGTCAACTAATCAATTTAAACTCAATTGCCCAACAACAAAAATTGCAGCTAATGAAATTGCTGAGTGGCTAGTAACTTTGGAAAACCACTTGCCACAGTGGCTGGTGAGCAAAAATGTTATTGTCAAGCCCTGCTTAAAGGGGTAAACAGTGGGTACACACACTGGGAAAAGAGCAGTCAGACACAGGAGTTGCAGTGAATATAACAGGAGTTTATTTTAGAAACTGAAGGGGAGGAGGGAGGGGGCACAAAAAACGGTAACTCAAAGACAAGCTCCTCCGAACTGGCAGTTGGCGTCCGGGGCTCTGTCAGGTTCTTCTTGAGTCGAGAGAGACAGCGATTATTCTTCTCCCGCCAGGCAAGAGGCAGGCTGCGGGCCTTTTACCCTGAGACTTGTTGGGAAGGTGTCTGGTTCTCACTCCTCAGTAGATCAAGACGGTCCCTCTTCCGTTCCCTCTGGTTGAGGTTTAAAAGGCTCCTGATTGATTCAATCCACCAGTGAGGGACAACCCGAGCAGCCTGGGTGGTGAGGAGTTCCCTATGACAATCCTCTGGGGTAGTCCCGCCCATCCAACACCATACCTCTTTGATTGTCTTCGTTTGGCTGTACTCACCGGCTGGGCCATCACAGTGGGAAAATACTTTCAAGCAACACTTCTTGACAACAGTTGCGAAAAGTCATGGTAAAGTCTGTTGAGGGTATTTACGTGTCCATGCCAGCAGGGCAGGTGCGTTGGGTGGTGTAAGTCCCCCCTTCAGGACGTCCTGATCCGCAGGGAGCTCATCCTAAGCACAGTTCACAGCTTTCTCTGATTACATACACTATGAGGCCTTTCTCATTTCAATCCGACCTTCAGATTTCATTTTATTATTATTCAATATGTTGGGATACTTTAAAATTCCACCTCAAACGGTTGTGTGTTATTTGTGATAGAGTATCTTTGGCTCTGGAAGAACATGCAGGGTCCGCGCCAATTTCTACAGTTAATGGGCTTAACGATAGGCAAACGCTGTGTAACGCACCACAAGAGACCAGAGTGAACTCAAGCGCAGAGCGCAGTTTTATTAGCGGGGTACAGACAAGGATCAGGCGTGGTAGGGTCCGGTGAACAGGCAGGGGTCGAAAGCCGGGAGCGTGGAGGTAGGCAGAGGTACCGTCGAGGGTCAGGCAGGCGTGAACGAGGTCTGGGACAAAGGACAGGTCAATAACAGGTAGGCAGAAACAGGATATCAAGAGAACTCTCAGAATGTGATGGCAACATGCACAAGACTTCGCACCGGCTTCTGAGGCTTCGGCAGCTTAAATGCCCAACCTCTACTGATGAGAGAAGAGCCACAGGCACAGTGGGCTGATCCTGAGTGGCACAAACCATTGTCACGTGCCACAAAGGGGTGACTGAGATCCCGAGCTTCGGACTTTAGTATTCCGGAGACGGGGAACGTCTGCTTGTGACACGCTGTAAGTAACAAAAAATAAGTCAGAGGTGCACAGATGCTGTTTGTGTAGGTTTCAGCATACGTGCTCAGTACCCAGACCAGTCTCTTCTCTATAAAGGATGTGGTGAGACACAAATGCGTCCATAGCCTGAGAATCTACAGACAAGTTTTGTGATCCTCTATAAATAACATGCTATTTGTAGAATGTGTTATCCTGTTGTCTTTGCAAGTTTTGGCATTTAACACAAGTCCAAAGTTAAAATGATATTCCTTATATTACCTTATAGTTTTGTCCCATCATGGTGTTTGTAAAAAGTTTATTGATAGAGGGATGTTACAATCACACCTGGTTTCACAGCTGAGTTCATCACATGTAAAGACAAACTCAACTGATTAAAAAAATCTCTGAGGTTTTTTGTCCTTAAATAAATACTAGTTTTATCATAAAACAATAACAAAAGAAAAACACTGAAAGTCTGTTACAGAATGTGTGTACATCCCACTATTAACTGGTTGCAGCCATCATGAACATGTTGTTACATCTGTAGCTGTCTAAAGGTAATTCATTAGCACTATTAGTTCAGTCTGGAGACAGTTTCTATCCAGGAGGAGAAACAAAAACATTTCAAATGAAATTTCATAAAGAT